ACCGATTTTCATATCGATCTGCCCGGCTGAGGGGGGCGCGGGGTGAGAATCAGGCAGTGGGGTGGTTTTGGGGGAACTACTTAACCCGCTTGCACTGGGGATGCGAAGCTGCTGGTCCCAGTTTGGGTGTCCAGTGCTGTGCACCGTGCACTCGGTGATGGGGATGCACTGGCAGCAGCATCCCCTCCGCCAGGGCACCACCGTTACAGCCTGGTATAAATAAAATCAGAAGGCTCCTATAAAACTCTGTTATTGCCGCGGCACAAAGTTAGAACCGCTTGAGGTTTCTGCTCCCCGGCTCTCGTGCAAAGCAATGAATATTTTATAGGAAAGGAAATACTTAGCGTCTGAATCTTTTTATAGTGCTGCTGCTGCTGCTGCTCCCGCAGACAGTAACCTGCCCCTCGGCCGCTGCAGCCCCTCGCAGCCCCGCACTGACACGTGTGGGGCTGAGCCCCTGTGGCTGCATCCTCCAGCTCCACATCCCTGGGGCGCACAACAGGACAGGGGGCATGCAGTGGGATGAGGGTCTCGACGTGTGGCACAGGCATTGGGAGGTGCAAGTGAGATGCAGGATGCACTGCAGAATTCAGGAGAGCAGATTTCTCTCTGTGTGTGCCTTTTGCTTTTGAGTCAATGCAGGATTCTCGATGTTGCTCTAATGTGTATTTTTGTCTCGCTTGTAACTTCCTGGGACTCTGCTGTTTTGTTGTGATGCACCAGCCCCATGATTCCCCTGCTGTGCTTGAGCTTGAGCTGGCTGCCAAAGTATAGACCGGGAGGGATGAAGCCAGTGCTGTGCAAACCACCAAAGCCCCTTGGAGCTGGTGTCCAGAGGCCAGGAATGTCGCAGCAGCACACCCTGCTCTGGGCTTTGCCTCAGGGTTCCCTGCCCCAACAGGTAGGGAGCACAGCCTGGCTGCGGTGGAGCCTGTCCTTGGTGAGGAGGGGATCTGTGCCTCTCCCTGGTAGCCGGCTGCCCTGCCAAGCTGCGCCCCAGCCCGGAGATGACAAAGTGCCCTTTAGTTAATTGCAGAACGGATCGCCTGGAGTTAAAAGTTCTGATTTATACGACTATGGCTCTAACTGCTCAATAACATGGGCCCGTAATCTACTTTCATTTCAAACAGAAGGGTGATTTATGGGGCAGCATGCCGCTTTCGCTCAGAAATGAGGTGTTCAACATATGCTCTGTTGACATAAATTTGGAATTTATCGCTCCTGTCAAAACTGCCTGTTGGACAAAGGTGCGCATTAAGGCAATAAATGGCTCGGAATAGTTTTCTGTCAAATTTCCTAACCATTGTATTCACTCTGTTTGAGGGGGAAAATGTACACTTAAAAGTAATCAAACAGCCAAAAGCCATGCGTCTTGTTTGGCATGGAGGGAGGAGAGGGGGTCTCCTCCCTGCTCCCCAAAAGAGGCATCAGGGAGGGGCCAGGCAATGGGAGCCCCTTAGAAATAGCAGAAGGTCTTTGGATGCTGGATGTTGGTGGTGAGCCGCATGCAGGGTCTTTGGGTACCAGTGCAGCTCCAGGATGCTCTGCCGAGCCCCCGCATCCCCTGGGAGCAGGCAGCAGCGTTTGCCACCGATCCCGGCCCTTCAGACAAAGCACCCTGTGGGGAGAACTCATAATTTTTACACGGCACGGCCTCGCTGGAGTCGCTGTCCCTTTGAAGTGCTTCTTGCAGGGCTTTTACAGGCCCTTTTAATTACCGGCAGCTTGCAAGGGGCCAGCCTCCCTCCCAGCTTTTGTTTGCCGGTGCTGGGTGGGGAGGGGGCATTGCCCCAGCACCACTTTGTGTCCTGCCTGGACACAAGTGAGCCCTTTGCCCTGCACCAGGGCTCACTTGGGTCGGTTCCTGGCCCGGGATTCCTGGGCAGCCTTGTCCCTCTGTGCTGGAGCATCCTCCAGGAATGTCTGTGACCTGGAGGCATTGGCCATCTTCATGTCTCTGGGTACCCTGAGCATTGCGTTGAGTGGGAATTACAGGGGGAAAGGTGCTTTCCCCGGTGCTGCTGCTCGCCATCCCACTGGTGCCTTCTCAGCTGATGCACTCTCAGGGACCTTGCGGGAGAAGGGGAGTATGTGGAGCAGCATCGGGTTGGAATAATAAAACATAGTTTATCTGTTTGCGCTCGACTTCGGGCAGCCTTGTGGAGCTGTGATGTATTTTAACACCCTCAACTCCCCCCGCGCCCCCGGTTCTGGAGGCACAACTTTAGAAGCACATATTGATCTTTCCCCTCAGATCTTAACAGCCCAAGCAACCGTAATACCTTGCTTACATCTGCCAGGTTTTTGTGCAGTTTTGCAACATCTCCTTAATCCGGCGAGCAGAAATAGAACGTTTCAATCATATTTTGCTACCGGGAAACCAAGCAGATAAAGCACTTTAAGACCTTGTTGAAAGGGACTGTGCAAGATGGCGAGCGATAAGATCGTCCTGCAGGCAGGCGCTGAGCGGAAAACTTTTGTTGCCGCTGAAATTTGTTGATAGAGATATTGCAAATAAATTACTCTCCGAGCACCTGGTGCCTTAAGACAGTGAGGAGCAGACACGGCTCAGGGAGAGGGATGGCACGTGCAGATTTTGGGCACCCTGCTCTTGTGTTTCCCCTTTCCATGCTGGCGAAGGTGGGAATGGAGGTCTGCCCGCATGCCCTGGCTTGGACTGTGCTGTTGTCCATCTCGCCATGGACATGGAGGATGAATGGCTGCCCCTGGGAAGGTGATCTTGGGTTGATCCAGTTTTTGGGTATCCATGATCGAGCAAGGTTGCTTTGGCTGTTATTTCTATAGGCTTGGGTGACGCAGAGAAAGGAGACTCGTGCTTTTGTTTCTGCCTTGTTTCTTGAGACTCACTGGAGAAAACCTCCAAACCTCCATGTTTCCCTTGGACTAATTAACCGATTACGTTTAATTCACTGAAAGGCTCTGAGAGGCGGGCGCTGGCACGGGGATGCTGCGCCCTTCCCAGCAAAGTGGTTTAAGCCCGGCGCTAAGTGCAGGAGCGAGCTGAGCCCGAGCCGGGGGAGCGTGACAGGCATGTCCCTAATTAAACATGCAACCGGAGGAGGTTGTCGCTCCTTGAGCTGACTTGCTGGCAGCACCAGTCTGTCAGGAGGCTGGTGGTTTATTTATTTTTGCAAGGCAGATAAATCCTTTGGATTGTAAACCTTCTTGGCCTGAATTCGTGCATGACTCTTAATCCTCCGCTATGACACAGTGAATTCAGGACAAGCCTGATTAATAATTACATTATACAGCAAAGTTGAGAGTTGAAACCGACTCCTGCTCTTTTCCTCCCTGCTCCCTTTCTGCTCCTCTGCTGAACATCCCTGGGTCTCCTCCCGTGGTCCGACAGGTCCCGCACTGCTGCTCAGTATCCCTGGAAAGCGGGATGGCCGGGTGGGGTGCAGGGGTGGCTGCTTTGCACAGGGACATGCTTGCAGGGGAATTGGAGCCTGTGCAGCACCCAACAGGGGAAGGTTTGGGGCTCTGGGCTCTCTGCAGCTGCAAGGGATGATCCTGCTAGGGCTTGGAGCAGCGGCAGCTTCACGCCGGTAAAGCTCACGCTTGGAGGGGGGGAGCACAGCTGACACTGAGGTAAACCTCCCTGTGGGCCAGGTGGAAGGTCCTTGCACAGCCTGAGCCCTCCAGCTCAGCATCCAGCCTTGGACAAGAACGTTTCTGTTTTGTCTTTGGCAACAAGGCAATAAAAATACGCTCGTCTCGCTGCAGGGCGATGATAAATGGTGGATGCGATCAGAGGTCGGCACGCAGCAATTTGCTGTGTTGCTTCTCAAACACATACAAATACTTCTCTGTTTACAGCATCCGATTTTGAAACTCTGCACGTGTGCCTGGCGCGAGCTGCGAGCGGCCGCCAAGGTGTGGCTGCTCCAGCAGCCAGCACACTGGATGGAGGCATCTGGGACCAGGGGGCTTCTTGTCAACGCTGCCTTCGAGCACAGGGCTGGGTTGCTTTGCTGAAGAGTCTGTTTATCACCACCAATGTGGTGAAATAAAGCAATGAGCACCGTTCCGGGTGTTGCATATCCATCTATGCTCTTGGAGTGGTAGTTTAGAGGGGAGCGGTGCTTGGGAGAAGGAATTGTTCAGGGAGAGGGACCACCCTTGGGTGGCAGCGATGGCTCGTGGAGTGAGATGGAGCTTAGTTGGTTGATTGCTGTTGACTTGGGCAACACCCCTGCCCATGTCTCTGCGAGCACTGACCCATTACAGGTTATTTCAGTTCACTGAGAGCTCCAGCATGCCACAGTGGTTTGGTACCCAAAGATGGAGCAGCAGCATACTCACAGCAAAGAGAGGGAAGAAGCGTGGGGTCTGGCTGCTGCGGCCAAGCCCAGCACCCACTGCACGAGCTGGCAGGGAGATGCGGTGATGGGTACCCGGCTGCAGGGGGATGCTCAGCCCTTGGCGTGATGCGGGACGGGTGATGCAGCCGGGAGGTTGCGCAAGGCGCCCGGGCGTAGCTCAGTCTGTACCTTGTGGTGCCAGGAAATGGTGAGTGGCATGTTTCCTGTTTGCGAGCTGGTGGTTAAGGTTTCTGCTTATGAGTTGTGTCATGCTGAATTTGGATGGAAATTGGGATTCGGTTACAAACGCATACAAACAACCTCTTAAAATCTTTTTTTATTCTTATTTCTTTGGAGTACAGTACCTTTTCCAGAAGCACTCGGTGCATGGGGGGGGGCTAGTTTGCCAGCAGATCCTTTGCATTAACTCCTGATTTCAGATTCATCAGGTTTATTTAAAGGCTGCAACTATAGTTATGATGACAATCACTAAAGAGGAGAAGGCAACCTTGCCAATGGGGAATCACACAGGACCTCCCATCCGTGCCCTTCCTGTAGGGCTCCTCAAACCAGGACCAGTGCAGGTCGATGTGGGGGCTGCATGAAGTATCAGTGATGTTTTGGATGAGTTTTCCCCATGCACAGGAGGACTAAACCCTCTCTCTTGTCCCCCAGGAAGCTGCACAGTGGGATGAAGACGTACGGATGCGAGCTGTGCGGAAAGCGGTTCCTCGACAGCTTGCGGCTGCGAATGCACTTACTGGCTCACTCAGGTGGGTCCGGATGGGGATGCACGGGTGGGATGGAGGACGGAGGGTGGGATGCCCTCTGTGCTGAGGTGCTGCACCTGTGGGGCTCACACATCCTGTCAGCAGGAGAAGCATGTGGCACCGGCTGTGCCCTTCCCAGGGCAGCACGTTGCAGCCTTGGCCTCCAGTGCCCAGTAATTTGATGGATTTAATTTTTCTTTTTTTGGAATTTGTTTTCAATTCCTTAATTGGGGAAATATTTTCCGGGCTGAGCAGCTCGGAATAGCAAACTGTGCGTGCACGCAGCTGCGTGTTGTGTTGGTCCAGCCCTGCTTGTTCTGTGAGCATCGCCTCCGTGCCGGATCCCGTGTGCATCCTAGGGCCGCCCTCGCTGCGGACAGGCGCCCACCGCACTTCCATTAGCAGAGCTGCTGTGGAATTAGGCGTTCTCTGCCTAATGAATCTAACCAGCAGGTTCACATGATGCAGGCCCTTTAATTAAATAGATAGGGAAGGGCTGGAGTACTGTGCTGGTGGGAAGACTTGTGCTCGGCAAGTCAATGAAGGCCAGTGTTTGGGCACGTGGGCCCTTGTACAGCAGGGGGTTAAGGTGAAGAAGCGCACATGGCCACAGGACCCTGTGCTCAAACGTAGGTGGGAGCCCTTGTCCCACTCCTTTGAGGGCAAATCATTGGGGTGCAGGTACTGAAGCCAAAGCTGTGCTTGCAGGTGGCTTTGCAAGGCAGCTAGATTGTATTTTACGTTTTTAATAGATTTTTGCCTATTTTTTCCCCTAATATGATATCCCTTTTTTCCCCACTCCCCTTTGCCTGCACTGAGGGGCACAGGGCAGAGATGCTTGCCTTCTGCTTTTCATGGTGGTGGAGCTGACCCTGACCCCAAATCCACCCCAACACTTTTTGGGTTGGACACCAGCTCCTTGGGGGGCCTGCAGGCAGTACCAGGTTACTGGAGCTCATTCCTGGGATGCTGTTCCCTGAGATGCTGGTTTCCCCCCCAGCCTGGGGTGCAGGATGCTGGTCCTCCCATTGCTGGTCCCCAGGATGCTGGTTTCCCCCGGTGCTGGGGTGCAGGATGCTGGACCCCCTGTTGCTGGTCCCTGGGATGCTCTTCCCCACTGTCCATGGGGTGCAGGATGCTGGTCTCCCCATTGCTTGTCCCCCCATTGCTTGTCCCCAGGATGCTGGTTTCTCCCGGTGCTGGGGTGCAGGATGCTCATCTCCCTGTTGCTGGTCCCCAGGATGCTGGTTTCCTCCAGTGCTGGGGTGCAGGATGCTGGACCCCCTGTTGCTGGTCCCTGGGATGCTCTTCCCCACTGTCCATGGGGTGCAGGATGCTCGTCCCCCCATTGCTGGTCCCCCCCGTCGCTGGCGCGCGCGGCTCATGTTTGTTATGGTGTCGTTGGCTCGCAGCCCGTGCTGGCGGGCGGCCAGCTTTGTGGGTACAGTATGTACAGTGAGCGCGGAGCCAAGCGCCGCAGCCGCAGCGTTCACCGGGGCTCTCGTTGTTATGATTCCTGCCGGTCCGGCGGGCGGGGGCGGGGAGGGCTCGCAAGCGGCCGCCGCGGATTCCAGCGCTGTTATTTATTAAAGCAGGAGACCTTTGCACCTCTCCCCTCGCCTCCCCCCTCGGCCGGCCCGGGATGAAGCGGGGCTGTGCCAGAGCGGCGGCACGGGGGCTCTGAGGGGGCCCGTGGGCGGTGGGTTTAACTGGGAGGTCCACGTCATGGTGATGGCAGGTGCCCCCCTTCAGCAGCCCTCTGTGCCAAAGGCAGCAAATGCTGTGTTTAGGAGAGGTTGGCGAGTGTTTACGGGAGAAACCTGATGGTAAAGGAGCATTTAAACTGGGGACCAGCCCGTGGGGCTGTGGTGCCCCCGCAGCGCGGTGGGTGCTCGGTGGTGTTATCGCTGTGGCCTTGTAGGTGCGAGGTAAATACTCAGCCGAATGTTTACACTCCAGGAGGAAGCGTAAACGGAAAGCCTTTAATGCCGGTAAAGCCTTTCCCTGCCTGCTGCCCGGCGCCTGCAGCCCTGCGCTCCCAAAGTGGTAAAGGCAATGTTGAGACACCCCCCTCCCTGGAAAATGAAGTGGAGGTGGAGAACACAGCTCCGTGGTGGTGTGGTTGAGACGTGCCTTAGCTTTGACCCAGGGAGGCTGGTCCTGGTGCCACCACTCACTTCTATGAAGCAGATACTTGGGGGGTGCACTTGCTGGCATTCAGGGGTGCCAGTCACCACCCAACCTGTGCTGAGCTGGGTTTACTCCCCAGGACAGGGAGGAAGCAAGACAGGTTTCTGCCTCGGACCCCACTTGCTTTGCCTCTCATCCATCAGAAGGATCTGCCACGGAGATGGCTGCCGTGGCATCCCTATGAACGGGGGCAAGCACGAGCAGCGCACAGGGATGCAGGTGGGCAGCACGCAGGCAGCACACCCGCAGCCCCCTGCCCATATGGCCAAGGGCTTCCCTCTGCACCCAAATGTGCTCGGTTCATCCCATTCCCTTAGGAGGGGCTGCAGGAGAGCGCTGCTGTTGGGGGGGGGGGCTCACCCCATTGCCACCCCCTTGCCCCGGTGGTGCCGGTGGGGCGATGGCAGCTCAGGCCCCTTGCCCCGGCCGGCGGTGGCTCTGGGGCAGGCGTCCCCCCCGCCGCGGCTGGCCGGCGTCCCGCGCTCGGTCCCGGGTGATGTCAGCGGCCTGCCGGCAGGTCTGGATGTTCTGCCAGCGTTCCCGCGTTTATGATCATCCGCAGATGTGCATCCAAGAACACACTGTACCCACAGCAGAAATTAATGCAGGCTTGACTGCCGGCCAAGCCGCGCACACGGGGGAGAGGAAGAAAGAAAACAAAAACTGTTTAATGCTGTTTATAAATTATACACTGGCTGATGAAAAATACATTTCTCTCCCCCCACCTCCCCTCCCTCCCTCCCCATCCTCTCTGCCTCGAGAGCCTGAGCTGAGACCAGAAGAATATGGTTTGCTTTTGAGCTCCTGTTTTGGCTGGGTTCCTGGACCCGGGCGCTGGCTCGGAGCCAGTGGCTTGCTCCCCCCCGCCGCCCTTACCTGATGAAACACATTGATTTTTCACCCGCTGCCACCTCTCCCCACCCCCCCTCTCGGCTGTCCCTTGTTCCCGATGGGTTTGGTGCGGGGAGCCCAAACCCCTCACGTCGCTGTGCTCCCCATACCAAAGCCACCCCAGGGGCATCCCTCTGCCTTGTTACCAGTAAACGTGCGTGGCCATCGCTGCCATTTCTGATGGGTGGGGGAAACTTCCCAAACTTCCCCCGGGGTTGCAGTGCCGGAGCCCCCCCTTTCCTGGGGTACATGGGGGGCAAGAGCCCCCCATCCCTGCCCGCCCCTGCGCATCCCTCCCCACGCACTCGCCAGCCATTTATGCGGCTTTTGTGGTGTGTTTTTTTCCCTTTAATACCACTAATGTTTATCATTTGCCCAACAGGCTTGACAGATTTTGTTTCCTGTCGAGCGCGCGGCTGCGGAGCCCCCCCGGTTGCCAAGGAGCCGCCTCCCCGCACCGTCACGGGCTGATTTGGTATTCCGCGCGGCGCCCCGCCGCATTTCTGTATGCAAGACAAAGTGTTTTGATGGAGGACGATTGCAGGAGTGTCTGGAGGCTGTTTGGAGTTTTATGGGCTGTGCAGTACGCGCCGTGCTCTCTCGCTCGCCGAGCGGGGCTGACAGGGCTTTGGAGGGGGTTTGTCATCTTTTACCCACCAAGAGGAGGGAGCAGCGGAGGAGAGGGGGGAATGGTGCAGGAACCGGCCCCTTATGGCTCCTTGGCTCAAAATCAGGATGCTTTTCTCTATCTGTACATGGAAATGCCCCCTGCTCCACCCATCGCCATGTGGCGTGGGGTTGATGGGGCTGGCAAGGGTTTGGTGGTGATGTTGCTGGTGGTCCCCTGTCATTCACCCCGAGCCCCCACCCCATCATTCCAGGTGCTTCCCCAGCCTTGCTGATGCATGAGGTGGTGCTTGGAGCATCCTTCCCGTTAGAGCTGCCCGTGGTCTGCGTTCACTCAGGTGATGATTGTGGTGTTTGGCCAGGAGAACCACCAAGACCCCCCGGTCCCTCCCTGAAGCCGGGGAGGAAGGCGTGCGGTGATGGCGAAGCGGTGGCACGCCTGGGCTTATCCTATCTGCTGGCTTAGCTGGGCATCGGGCTCAGCTCTGGAGTCCCTCGGACCTCCTGAAGCCTGCGCCTGGCTCCTTTTCCCATATCCAATTATTGCCTTTTGATAGCACTCTGGGAGAAGAGGAGGTGAAGCTCTTTGCCTCCTAAATCCAAGCCTGCTCCACAGCTCCATCCTTTTCTGGCCCTTCCTGGGTTTCTCCGGTACGTTTTTTTGGTGTAGAGATTTTCACGGCTATCTCTTGCACTCGGGTGAAACAGGGGAGAAGGGAAATGATGATGATAATAATAATAACAGCAATAATAAAAATCAAAAAGCAGCTTGATGTGGGCAAAAGAAGAAAGCAAGAGAATGGGGTAGAGAACAGGCTAAATTTAAAATTGTAATTGGCTGACTTCCACAGGCTTGCGGGTGTTTTAATGACTCATAATAACTTCATTTAAAACCAGCTGAGCAGAAAATAGATTGGAGAGGAGCCTCAGGCCATTATGGATTTGTGTTTTTTTGAGGAGCGCTGTTTTGGGCAGGCAGGAAGGCGCTGGCGGAGGGCTCGGCTGCGCCGTGCCCGGGTTGGGGGTCTGCCCGGCAGAGATTGCACACGCACCGGGCACGCCACTGCTGCTTCCCCCCTTTGCTTCCCTTTTGCTGATTAAAAATAGACGCCTTGAGGTATTATTTTAGCAACGCTGTGGTTTGGTGCTTTTTTTTCTTTGCACTTTTGATGTGGTAAATGGAACATAAATAAAATTGTTTTTGAAATTACTGAATTAATTAGGTAGTAAAGCGACGACAGTGCATAAATTTACTCGGCAATTTTTTTTTTTAATCCATATTTCCGCCCCCCACCACCTTCTCACCAATTACAGCCTGTTAATAATATATGATCCCAAATTTTTGTCGATCCCCTGTGCTGGGGGAGGGAGGGGCATAGATGTTGCATAGTGCCGGCGTGCTGCAAGCACGGTGGGGAAGGTCTGGGTCCTCTCCCCCACCCTCCTCACCTATTTCCTATCTTCCTCCCACTTTACCCATCCTCTTCCTCCAAAGGATGCTCCCTACAAATCGTTTTCCTTTTCCCTTGTTTTCTCCTTGGATACAGTTTGTATTGTCAGGGCACCTCTCCCTACAGCTCATTGGCTTCCAGCCCCATGGATGTTGATCTCATGGCCAGGGATGGGGGCATGGATGGATTGAGTTGGGAAGGGGCGGGAGGCGTTGGCTGTGCCTGGCCCCTCTGCTGTGCTCCTTGGCAGGGAGAGGGCTGGGAAGCTATGGCCATTGAGGGGCTGCAGACCCCAGTTAGGGGCCGGGCAGCAGCAAGGGCAAGTGGGTGAAGCATTGGTGTTTTTAGCCAGTTCTGGGATGTTTTACTACTTCCTACCATCCAAAGTGCTAAAACTGGAGAGCCTGTTTCTGGTCCCCAATAAAGTAATAAAAGTGAATGGGTGTTGGGAGGAACTGTTGCGATGATAGCGGCTAAAACCGGAGGAGCTCTGATCTCAGATCCAGCTCAGCCCGGATTGTGGGGAGGGGGCTGCAGATGGTGCCCGACTCAGCTCATGGGGATGCCCTTTGGGTGCTCATCCTGTTTCTGAGCGCTGCCTTAAGCCCCACTGCTGCTGGGCTGCTCCTTTGCCTTTCTCTTGGGGTCTGTTAGCTCAGGCCAGGGCTGCCCCTCGGAACCGCTGCGCCGGGGGCACCGTGGTCCTGGCAGGGAGCGCGAGGGGCGGCGATGACTCTGCACATCGTGGCTCCGCGCGGCGCGGGCACCTTTATGAGGCACAAGCTATAAATTTTCTCGCGCGGATATAAATGTACGCGGGGGGGCTGGTGCCAACCGCGAGGCTCGCGCCGGAACACGGCCGATCCTTGGCAGCACGCGGAGTCCCGTTCCGTCCCGTTGGGAAGATCATCCCCACATATCTGTGTAGTGTAGGCGATACGAGGCGCTCGCTAAAAATACCCTCCCTGAGCGTGTGCTTACGTTCGGAGGGCTAATGGCTTCGATGGGTGTCGTTTAAAGCATGGGGGGGGCAGAAAGCCGTGACACGGGCTGTGGATGTGCTGCTTTCCAACATGTCCTGCTCCTTTTAATAACAAACAGCGAGCCGCGGTGGTTTTTTTCTGAGCCCTGTTATAATAAGCTCAGATGTTGGATGACATTTTTCCCGGTGACTCACATAGTAAAATTAACCTTGAACTATTTACATATTCAATCGCCGCCCTCCCTCCTCCTCCTCCTCCTGCGCTCCCCCCGCTCCCGAGCGTGTGTACATTACAGGAATCCTGGCTCCGTATCAGGTTTTGTTTTGCTGATGAGAAAAAAAAAAAAAGAGAGAAAAAAATTCCCGGGCCTGGAGTACACATCTACTTGAGGGAAAGAACACGCAGTCCTGGCCTTTGGAAATTGGCAGGCGGCGTACTGTTCCCGCGCTGATAAGAGGTACTGTAAATAAAACTGTACGGCAGCGCCTGCTGTAAAATGCCCCGTGTCTGTACTCATTGTTCTGACAGCTCCGGCTTTTTTTGGGTCCGCTGTTTTGGTACACACTGTGCTTCCTTACGTAAGTGAGCGCGCCCAGCTCCTCCCGCCCTGAGCCCTGTTTATTTTCGCCTTGCCAGGAATTTTTCCTGCCTCCCCCCCCCCCCTTCTCCTTCCCCACCACCCCACGGCCAGATGCTGGCTGCCTTCCCCTTCCCTTGCTGTGCCTCTGTGGGCTCCCACTGTCCCTCCAGTTGTGTGGGTTTGGGGGGCACCAGCACACGTGTCCTCCCCCCTCACCCCATGTAGAAGTGGGGCGAGCAGCAGCAAACCCCACGTTCAGCCAGGACTGGGCACAGGACCCCCTGCACCCAGTGGGATGCACTGCCCCTGAGACCTGTTGCTGTGACACGTTGCTGCATCCTCGTGGATCACGCTTCGCCGCGGTGGGGCTGGGAGCATTGAGTGGCGATGGAGAGTCATTGCCTAGGCAACTGCCGGCTGCACATCGCCTGTGCTGCGGGGAAGGGGGGGGGGCAGCCCATGGCCGCTGCCCCATCGATCCCCAGCCCCTCGCCATCCCGGGAGTCCTCGGTGCCCTTTGTGGCCACGCTCCTCTCTCTGCTGTGGGTGAAGAGAGGAGCCCACGGGCAGCAGCCACATCCCCACAGCATCCCACATCCCCGAGAGCATCCCCTTGCCCAGCAGCACATGCAGAAGCTGCCCCACCACCCTCCCCACGGTGCCCCACAGCCCTTTTTGTTGTGCTTGTCCCCTCTTGATGGGCCATGTGGCCCGTGCACACCCGGGTTGTTTTGAATGCAAACTTGACATCACGGCGAGGGCGGCGGAGAACAACATATGCACAGTAAACAGGCAGACTGTCATATTGATTAACAGATGAGACCTCTATTATCGATCAGCACTTGGCGAGAAAATTTATCACTTTTAATTTCACCGCTGCCAAATATTTCTGCCTGAGAGCCAGCCGTTACTGAGACAATTTAAAGGCAAAGGAATTCTCTTTTTAATGCAGCTCATGATACCTCCTTCTCTCCCTGTCGCCTTTTCTGTGCACCCTTGTCCAAATCCCACCCCAAGAGGGGTGGAAGGGGATGGGAGATGCTGTCTGGACCCCTGGAAATGGGTGGCATGGTACGCTGCGGAGCAGTGCCCCCACCTCAGAGGCTGCTCTGTCACACTCAGCTCCTCACAGCAGATGAATCAAACCCTGAAATCTAAGGAGCGGGCCCATGGCTTTGTCCCGCAGTGGTGCTTCGGATGTGGCCTGTATCGTTAATCTGTTTTTATCTGGAAGTTACTTATCTGCTGCTGGGCATCCTGTTTTTCCTCGCCTGAACTAGCAGCACGTGTTGATAGCGATTTTCTAAGAACTCCCCCATACCGCACCTCTCTCTGGCAGTCGAAGGTGCATCCTTGGGTACCACCTGACCAGATGCATCCTTGGGTACCACCCTCCAGTACCAGCAACGGCGACTGCAATGGGAAGGGGCAGGAAACCAGTTGCAATTGGGTGGGTTAACAGTGTTAGTGAACACATTGATGTTTAATGATTTAAAAATTATAATAATGTTAATGGTTAAGCTCAGCACTGCTTTCCATGGCTGTGCAAGGGATATAAGATGTGAGGCCTCTCCACTGCACAGGTCCTGTGGCTGTAGCGGTGCCGGTGGCCGCAGTCACATCCCTTGAGTAACCCTCCTCTCTCCTTTCTCTCCCCAGCGGGTGCCAAAGCCCTGGTCTGTGATCAGTGCGGCGCCCAGTTCTCGAAGGAAGATGCCCTGGAGACGCACAGGCAGACGCACACAGGTACGTGGCCCTCCCTTTCCATCCTTTGCTTAGGAACAAGTTTAATGTTTGGGCTGCCTTTGGAACCCTTTGCCCAAGGGAGAGCTCAGCCCTTTGCAGTTCCCACCTCTGACCTGCCCAGCTCCATTTCGTGCCTTCCATTTGGTTAAGGTAAGTCGGCTGCGTTCTCTGCTGAACTCTTAATTGGAAGTGGGTTTGTACTTACACTGAAATCTGCGTGTGGCATTTGTCAGGGAAACCTTTAGAGCTTGGATGTTTGCTGCTGACTGGGTTTTGGTTTTGCTGAGCTCACGCTGGTGCTGTTGGTAGCAGGAGGAGCGCAACCCATCTCCGGGGTTGAACCAAGCATCCTTGCACCACACAACAGTGCCCCTGGGGTTTTTAAGCCACATGCACCAAAATTCCACCAGCATCACAGCATGTGGCTACTGCAAGGGTTTAAGAGAAACTTCCCAAGGGATAAATACCCTTTTCAGGACTGTTTGGCTGCTTGGGAGCCTATGAGTGATGAGTTACAAATGATTTGTAAATCCCAGCGTGTGCCCATAGGTTTGTTGCTGTTTTCCAGAGCATTATTAGGAACAAATGTGCTGCATCTGGAGAGGTTTTGTGGTGCTGCCATGAGGTGTCTGTTGTGAACATGGCTGCAAGGGTCTGCTGGGTGATAGGTCTGGGCAGTGGGTGTGCAGCCACTCATAGGACCCAAGGACTGGGGTTTGAGGAGGGCTGGACCCTGCTGTGCACAGGAAAGCTCTTTGTCCTGTGCTCCCATCTCCTCTTCCACTTAAACATGGGTTTGAGGCACTGGTTTGAGCGGCACCATTGTGTTTATTGCTCAGCATTAATGCATGCACGTGGGAAATGATATTGCAGCAAAAGCAAGGTAATTTGTTGCCTCCACAAGCAAAACCCTGTCCCTTTCCAAATGGCTCTTGGCGGTTGGCTTCTGCCACGTTCCACCTATTGCGCTTCCCAGCCCTTCAGCCATCACGGAGCACAAGGAGCTCTTTATGCACCTTGCAAAGGCCGCCTTGCCCTGGAAGGGTTTGCTATGGGGCACAGCAGAGTTCGTGGCTGGAGGGTCCCAGGTGGAGCCCGTTCAACCTCCCCAAAAGAGGCTGGAGCAGGGCAAAGCGCCCGCTCCTCCTCAGGCTATATCGGGAGCTGTTTAACTGAGCACAGGCTCGGCTTTCAGCACCGAACACCCTGACAAATGCCACTAGCGGCGGTGGGTCGGCCGCGGGGCTGGCACGGGGAGCCCGGCCGGGGGCTGAGGCCTGAGCAGCGATGCAAAGTGCTGTGTCAACGGGTGGGAATAGCTCCGGCTGTCACCCGATCTGGGAGCGGCACTGCCCCGGCACCAGTTCATAAATTGTAAAGTAATTGCTCTCCTTATTATCCCGTGTCGTGCGGCTGGAGGCCGGCTCTGCGGCTCAGGGGCTTTTGAAGAGCCGTGTGTACTGTAGGGTGAGGAGGAGGAAGAGGCTTGTGATGGGGCAGTGAACTGAGCAGGCTGGCTCTGCTCAGGGATCAGTGGCCAAGCCCAGGCAGGGACTTACAGGCAGCCAAGCACACAGCTCCCCGGTCCCGTGTACTTCCCAGACCTGTTGAGGATCCCAGGTGGGAGCCCGGCTGTTGAACAGCTCTTTAGCAGTGACAGCACCCAAAACCATCCGGCAGATGCGGAGCAGCCACGTGGCTTTGCTACCAACCTTGGCACTCCTGCAGAGATTAAAGCCCCTTCGGTTGCTGGAACCTGGGGCTGGAGCATGCCAAAGCTCAAAGGGCGATGGGGAAGCGGAGCCCGGGGGACACGGTGACCCGTGCGGGGCTGGTTTATCATCACTGCCTCCAGCTGGAAGCACAACAGCGCAGCTCAGTTACGTGGCAGAGCAGGGCTGGGTGGCCAGGGCAGCCAGAATGAATCGCTTCCTCTCCTCGGGTGGCACGCAGAGAGCCCTGCCCTGGCACAGAAGACATCCCTCCCCTGCCACTGCTATAATTAACCCTGTTCCTAAATAACGGCATCTGCCAGAACGGGTGTTTTTTGGGCGTCCTCCCTTTGCCCTTAGCAGCAGGATCGTTGGCAAAAGACCTTCCACCCTTCCAGGGGAAAAATTAGCCCTTTTTGCTAGAGATAGAGATGAATTCCCTCAAAGATGGCATCAAGAACTGAGCGAGGTGTATCTGGTACAGGCTGCCTGAATGCACACACATGGCTCTGGCACAGGGTGTTTAGGGGAGGATGCAGCACTGGTTGCTGCCAATCTTTTCTGCAAGGGGTGGACATGTTGAAGGGTTCTTGGGGTCTCTTGTCAGCAGTGGGGCTGTTTCTTGGGCAAGTAGTCAGGATCTAGGACCCAGGACCCCCTTTATTACACTTACCTTTTCCTACTGCCCTTATCGGTCCTCTGAACTATAGAGCAAGATGTGAAGGCAGCCTGTTGTACATGTGCTGTATCAACCACCGCCCGTCTCTTACAGCAGTAAACCTCCGCCCTGCTTTCTGAGGCACAGTAAAAGCAATAAGAACGAATGAACGAAGAGTTTCTGTGTGCAGTCCCGGAGCTGCTGTGCCTGTTCCAGCCCCACAGGCTCAGGGCTGAGACGCCCTCTCCGGGCATTCACTGTCCTTGGCCCCCATCCCAAGGCAATAGGAAAAGCAGCAACTGTTTTGGCTCATCCTCCAGCAGCGCGTACTCGGTGCCACGCTGCAGGGGGGAGCGTGGAAAATTCCTTACCCTTCTCCTAAAATGTAGAGGAAAAACAGAAATGCACTGGGAAGGCAGCCTGAGAACCCCCGGCCAGCGCTGCAGGGGTGCTCGCAGGCCCATGATGGTGTTAATGGGTTTGGGCTCGACTCCGGGCTTTATAAATATCAGAGGTGACTCGTCTGGAGTTTCCTGCCGTGTGCCAAGGCAGTTAACGCGGGCGAGCATGTGCATGGGGCGGTCAGTGGGCAGGGAGGCTCTGCTCCCGACCCACTGCACATGGGCGTGCTCGACACCCAGTACCGAGTGCTTGTTCTTCGGTAGGTAGTTGACTCCTTGACTTGTGGGGTCAGCGTGCCCCCGGCTGCTCTGTGGAGGGTGTGTGGGAGCCTTCGTCATCCCCTGCCCACGTCCCCTGCCCGGCGATGCCTGCACCGGGACGCAGGCATCAGAGAAGAGTTAATAAAACCAACGTGTAACTGAAAATTGAAAAGCTATAAATCTTTCCCCCTTTCCCCCCTCCTTGTTTTTTTTTGTTGCTGGGATGTTGGTAGCGTTTTGATTTAATAGTTGGCCAAACACAAGGGTCTATTTTATTCAGAGTTTACAGGCCTCAGGGCTGTTATTCCTCCAAATTTAATAGCATTGAAATTGCAGGGTTGGCGATAATTTGCCTATCACTTTCTGCTCTCCCATTGATGTTTATTGTCAGCGGGATGGAATCTCAATCGGATTCACTTAGATAACATGTCTGTTAAACATTTAGATAATTGTGCCATCATTAACTTGTCACATTATTTCAGAGATTCAAAACAGTCGTGCGGTAGAAGCAGAGGTACAAAGGGAGAAAAACCCGGCTCACAGGAGCAAGAACCTGGGCAAGGAAGCGGTGGTGTCGGTGGGATGCCCTGCACCGGGTTCTGTGGAAAGCCTCAAGAAGCTCAGCCTTTCTCTCTGCCTTGGCAGGGCTTTAACCACTTTTTACCCCCAAAGCAATTTCTGCTCCTGTTCTAAACGCACACTGAGGTGGTGCCCTGATTTATTTTCACTATTCTCTTTTTTAATACCAGAGCACTCAGTGTTTTCTAGTAGAAGAGCATTCCAACAACCCTATTGTGGTCTTGGGTTTGCACAGGGGATGCTTGGGAACCCGGAGGAGATGGACGGGGTACCATGCCGGAGCTGCACCGTCACACAGGGCAAATTAATATTTAGTCCAATTTGTTACGTATTTGCTTTATGTCCTTTCTTTTGCTTCAGTTTCTCAGTCTCCAAGTGGTACCCACCTAAAAACACCAGTGATGCGATTGATGTACATTGTGCTGGTTTTCTCAGTTTTGGAAATTAAGGATTTTAAGCCAGTGGAAGGTTGCATGGAAGCTGGGTGACACGAGCCATAAATTATGTTGAAGCATAAATTCTGTTTGCCTTAAGCTCAGCATGGCACCGTGAGCCATGGGATCTGCCGGGATGCTCCTCTGCCTCTGATGGCACCAGCAGCCGTCTGCAGTGTCCCTGCTCTGGGTGACTGGGGTTTGGGATATGTGGTTCCTGTCTCTCCACATCCTCTCCCATGGCTCCATCGGAGCAGTGCCCAACCGTGGGCAGCCAGGGCACTTGCTTGCCGAAACCAACCCAGTGTCTTCCCAGGCTGCCTGTGACTTTCTATTACTGTTTGACGGGACTCTGGGGAGTTTCTGGAGCGCAGCTCAATGGGGCTTCTGGGGGAAATACACGGGATAGCATTTTTCTCCATAGCCAGTGCTAATGCACTGTAGTATTAAGTATGCTTAGAGGTAATTATCCCTTCCATGCTCAGCTCTGTTCCATGGTCCCAGCTGGGGGAGGGAGCACAAGCACAGGCGACGCTGCACGGTGATGCCCAGACCGTGCTTTGTGGATTGTCTGTTGGATGTGAGTGTGGATTTTGGATGATCAGGTATGGAAGTGCTCCAAAGCCCCTGTGCGGTCCCCCAGTGTGCTGATGTCCCCTAACACCTCTGTAGGAGGCTGCAAGCAGCAGGCACAGGGCTGAGATGAGATCTGGTTTTGATGCAAGGATCACGGTTCCTATAGACGATGCTGGGTGCCTTTGATGCACTGGAGAGGAGAAAATTTGTACTGGTTCAAATTGTGGCTCCTGAGCTTAGGAAACAAACCTGGTTCACTGCTGCACGTGGATGCAAAGACTTGGTTCCAGGCACCTCTGAACACTGGCAGTGCCCGGGGGAATCCTTGGCAGAGCTGGGAAAACTGGATTTGGGGACCTGCTCCCAGGGGCACCTCTGC